ATTTAAATATATTAAAATTTAAAAAAAGTAGATCATAACAATATTTATAATAATTTTTCAGGCAAATTTGCCTGGAAAAGTCTACAGTTTAAGGGATAATAAATTATAAGAAAATGAAACCTTTAAAGAATTATGCTACAAAATTTTGTTAAGATAACAGTATTTGTTTTTTAAGTGGAAAAATATTTCTAGACAAATAGCAAAGTTAAAAAAAAATAAAAAAAATTGTCAAATTCGTCTCTTTTCTCAGCATCTAGCCTATGATATTTAGTATTTTAAGAAATTATCGAATACTATGGTTCACACTGTTTCTTTAAATGCATGTCATTATTTCAAGCTGATTATTTTTGCATCGCATAATCTAAGTAATGGATTAGGCACAATTATTGTAAAGGACAAAAGGAGCTGATTATCGTATACTATAGTTCACACTGTTTTTTTTAAATGCATGTCATTATTTCAAGCTGATTATTTTTGCATCACGTTTCGCACAATTGTTGTAAAGGACAAAAGGAGTTGTTATCTATATTTGGAATGATCATGCATTACTATACAGTCATACCTTACAACTTATTATTTAAATAATATATATAATACTGCACGCAACCCTATTTAAAATCTTGTGTCCAAACTAAACAAAGAATAAAATAAAAGAATCTATTAAAGAATACTATTTTATTTTACTTTAATAGCTATGTTACTGCATTAAATAGCATATTAATTACGAAAGTTTTTTGATCTGCCTTTACCTAATAAAATTTTTATGTAATATTATAATTATTAATTTACAGTTTTATATATTTTTAGTTAATTATTTCACTAACCTTTCCTGTTCTTCCTTAAGTTTCAATCGATTAGCGTATTGAAAACAACTTGCTGCTGGAAATGTAATGTTAATTGTAATATCGTCTAATCCTTTAATACGATTTAAGACCATAGAAATGTAATCAGAGTCTTCTCCTTTAGATTCTGCTATCAAATATTCCATGTGTATCTTGAGGCTTCTAGCAACGAAAGTCTCTAATGCTTTTACTCCTAATTGTTGATTTTTAAAAACATCATAATCGAGTACATCAATATGTTTCTTAAGAGGCTTCTCCCACACGGTACCGGCAATAAATTCTTCAATATCACGGTTAGATGGAGTGCTAGAATGTGAACATAAGTTAGTCAAATTTATTATGAAGTATTAAATGATATATATCAATAGGAATAAAACCTGCCTTTTTTTCGCATTAAATGATTAGCCAATTTGGCGACATCATCGTTATAGATGCTACGGAAATTTTCAAATGCCTGTCTCAATTTAGTTGATATTCCATTCCAATCAGGATGTGTTTTGACCATATTAGGAATAACACTTTTAATTAAAGATGTACAGGTTCTTTTAGTTGGCATTCTTGTTCACAAAAATAAAATTCGCGACTGTTCAGAAAGTACTTTTGCCAAATTTGGTGCATTATTTGAAGGAACCTAGTATTTAAATTTGAATTGTTATACTGGGCATGAGAAATATAAAACATTAAGGCAGATAAGTTGTAACAAACCTGATTTGATATAATAAGCGGCGATGAACAAATCGAATTCAACGGCTGTAACACTATATCTTTACGCATTTCTAGCCACTTAATAAGATGTGCTTCATCTTGAAAAATAAGACTGCTGTTTACAAGTAAAGGTGTCAAACTTGAATTGATGGCCGAATAAGGTGTGTTTTGTGTATTTGAGAGGGTGGCTGAATAAGATGATTCTTTAAAGGAGCTTGAACCATAATGTCGACCAACTGAAGAAAAAATTTCGTCTTCTGAAGAAGATTCATCATCATCAGCCATATAATAATTATAATTTTTATTGGAGGGATTCCTATCAGATCGTTCAGAATTGATTCCAGGTTCAATTGAAATGTTGGACCTTCTATTTACTTGTGGCACTTTATTTTGATATATACTAGCGTCGAAGGGTGAGGATCTCATACCACTATTACGATTTGGTGAGTTGCTTCTTTAAAAAGACTTGATGCTTTGATTTTGCTGACTTTCATTATAACTTTGTCGACTCTCTGATTCTGCTGGAGGTGAGCGACTTTGCTAATGATGTTTGACATAGTCATTAGATTGTAATTTATCTAATTCCATATCAATATTTTCTTTTTTTTTTAAAAAAAAAGGAAAAATATGATAATAATAATAAATAAGTAAATAAATTTAACCACACACACAGTATATGTATAAAAAAAATTACCTTTGCCTTTTCCACATGACTTTCGTGCTCTTTTTGACTTCTGTAAATCATCTGATTCATTTGAATGCTCAGAAGCTTCAGACTCTATTTGTGTAATATTGACTTTCTTTTTCACATTACGTGTTCTTTTTTTTACTGGTTTGCCTATATATAAAACCATGAAATACGATGTTTTATAACAAAAAATTTCCTATACGGGTTAGACAAACAAATACTTATGAGAAGATGAAGGTTTTGGTGGCATCTTGATTATTATTATTAAGCGAAAGATCAAACTAAAATATAAAATGATTTACATTTATATAAATAAATTTCATGATTAAATGTAATCTAATGACGTTATCGATTACAATCATAAATAAATTAACTTTCTTTTTTAACAATTTGGATTTTTTTTAATATTTGACAATCTGATTTTTTTTAATTTTTTTATTTAACCAAATTAATATGAGCTTTTTTTT